GGCCCCTCGGGGACACCCGGCTGCCGGCGTGGAGGGCGCCGTACCCCAAGACGCCCCGCGGCTCTACCGGCCGGTCCCAGCCCGGGGCGGTGCTCACCTTGCACACGGTCTCCAGCCCGTACGAATTTTCGCCCCGGCTGGAAGCGCCCCCGATTTTCTCCACCCTGCTGATCACGCCGAGGGAAGCGTCCAGCACAAACGGGGGGTCCTGCGGGAAGGACGGTGAGACGGCGGGCACGGTGCAGTGCGCTGGGGCGGGCCCACTCCGGACGCAGGCCCGCGCGCCGCTCACCCGCTCCGTGCTCTTGAAGAACAGCCGGTAGTTGGTGACGGTCAGGGTGCCCCGCACCGCGCCGGTGAAGGGGCAGATGTACGTGACGTCCTTGGCTGAAAGCAGAGCCCCAGTTGGCCCGGCCCCGCTCAGGCGCCCCGGCTCCGGCCGGCTCCCGCCGAGGCCCAAACCCACGGCTCGGGCACCCGAGCAGTGTCTAGGGGCGCACAGGGGCGACAGGAGAAGGACCCCGTGACAGGAGGCTGCAGGAGGCCAGGTGGCACCGGCCTCGGCCAGAGGGGAGGTGGCGGGTGGCGTGAAGGGATGGTGGCGGCAGTGCCGAGACAGGAGGGGCGTCCCCCAGCAGCTGTCCCGGCTATGTGGGGCCGGGGCGCACCCTGACAGGCGCTGGCGCACGCGCTGGGGAGTGACCGCGGCCAGCATCGCCTCGCTGAACCACGCTGGGGCACGGAGCGGCGCTGCACCCTTTGACGGTCCCGGACTGCGAGCCGCACGCCCTGGCCCCGCCCATCAGCAGGAGCAGGGCGCACTGGGGCTGCTGGGAAAGGGGGGGGGGCCTGCCTGGGCTGGCCGAGACGGTCTTCGGGCTCAGCCTCGCAGCAGGCCCGCTGGCGCCCATGCCCGCGCGGGGGAGGGGCGTTCTCGAGGAAACAGGCCCATGCGGCGGACCCCAGACCAGCCCGGGGATTTGGCCGGGCTGACCCCAGACGGCTGCGCGGAGAGGTGGGTCCCGGAGCCCCCACAGCGCCCCTCTGGCTCTAGGGACCCGCCTCGGCCAAGCCCTTCTGAGGGTCCCACCGACCAGCTGGGCCAGGGGCGCTGCGCGGGAGGCCGTGTGCCCCGCGCCCCTCTCGCCC